CTGCGCGTTTGGTGCGAGGATTTGGAGTCTTTTTTATGTTGATGCGCTAAACCAGCTGTTTTTTATGCTTTCCACAAGGCTGATAAGGATGACCCTGTAGTCTCTACGAGAGGCGCTACAAGCGACGTCTGTTCGTCCGCATACTGCAGCGCCATGATCGATATTAGGCGATGCCAGAAACCGAGCCAGTGATCAACATTCCCGAAAAATCGGCACAGCCTGGCGAATATTAATCGGATTATGCTCCGCTCACACTCCGGCCGCGGCCGGCCGGCCGCCTCCGCCGCGGCGGCGTCGCCCCCCCACCTCCGAAGTAAATCGCTAAGAGCATCAACCCTAAGTCGATATGAGTGGTGGCTTTGGAACTTTAGCCCCGAATAATCGCTGGCATCCCTAATCGATATGGTGGTGGTTTGAACTTTAGCCCTGAAACGGTTGATGTTGAGGAGTTGGCCGTCAGTTCTGTACATGATGTGCGCGCACAGACGGGCCTATACACACACACACACACACACACACACACACACACACACACACACACACACACACACACACACACACACACACACACACACACACACACACACACACTTCTCTGATGGAGAGCCCGCTGCTGAAAAACCCAGCGACCTTTGAGGTAATGCTGTCCACTCATTATTCCACAGGGCACACAGAGGAAGAGCAGCTGACTGAGGGGTGTGTGAGACCCTCCACAGGACCAGACTACATCATGCAGCCATTAAAAACTTTTGTTCTTAGTTTTCTGTAATTCAGCATCTCCTCAACACTAGCCAGGCCAGAAAGGTGTACTTTGAGGGTCTGACACTTTTAGAAAACGTCCTCCCTGCTCCCCAGAAGGGTGCCAGTATGTTGTAAATGCATGCAGCCTTGCTCCACAGTTCAAAGCTACACATTTTTACAGGAGAGGGAAAACCCGAGTCTGGCGACGAGACAGACATGTTCAAATGATAAATAATGCAGCCATAGAGTGGCTGCTTCCTCCCTCTGTGCTCCGTGTGAGTGGGAAGGACCTGTGTGAGACTCAGGTGTTCCTGCACATACCACCTTATTGTGTGTAGCTGTGGATGTTCATGGAGGGCAGCTCTCCATCCAAACACACAAGAAGATAGGGAGCCAGTTTAGTATGTAAACCTGTCGGTGGCTCCTAAAAATGTGAATATGACAACGCTGCCTTTCCACTCAAACACATATACACAGATCTAGCTATCACCACACACCGAGTTCCACAGCTACCTCCAACATGCACATTAGAAAGTGTACTCTTGCTCTCACACAAACACAAGCACACCATGATCCATATTTTAACACTCATTGTCCTTAATTCCACATGACATTCTGCTGCTGCATAATTCACGCCTGTACCCCCTCTAAAACACCATGTGGCAACACTGGATTCTCACATACACAAAACTACACATCTTGGTGATTCCAATCATTCAATGCTCAGAGAAACAGTAGCAGTGTCTTTAGCATGCTCCCATGGAACCTGATGTGGGTTCATGTGAGCCTTGATGATAAAAAGAACTTTCTACGCATTGAGCCTATTCAATGTTACGAGATAAACACAGGCTACTGAGGGCACAAGGTTGAAGGAAACCAGTGAGACTATTTTCACAGGGAGCAGAACCATAGCTAAAAAAGGATGCCCCAATGGAACCACTGACTCACCTTTTGGCCACGTGTTAGTAGGGCTGAAATGGAAATGATAAAGTGTGGTCTAAACCAGCAGAGACCATGAGCAGTTCATAACTAAACTGCCATAGAAACAAGGATAAAGATTTTAACTCACGAATGGAAGAAAATCTCAAATTTGGGACTCAAAGTGGGAACACAGGCCGCCAGTTAGATGGAAATTAACAACAAGAAACATGACTTACTCAAGAGAGGTCTCCATTACACTCAATACAAATCACATAACAGCAAGGGCACCCATCGGCCTCCTCTGTCACAAACTGAATACTAGTAAGTAAAACAAAAGTGTTTTAGCTATGGCTTCAACATTAGCCTTCACTACAACTGAATCCTATGTTGAGCTCATAAGGTCATCATAGCTTTAAGAGATACTGTGTGTTCTGTCATAGGGAACAATCACTGTTCAAAATGAGGTCAACATGATGAATAAAGGCATGGACTGACAGATAATAGTGTCAGCTGTCATTCACCAGAAGTGAGAGACAAGCTGAAACAGCAAAAGTATTAACGGAGGCTTCTGAAGATGCACAGCAAACCTAGACATCCTACAAGAAGCCACCTGGTTCATATGGGGGGCTTGTTTTAGGACAGGCTGAGTACTGACTTTCAGTCAGCCTCCAAACGCCTAGAGCAGTGTTTCTCAAACTTGTTCATACCAAGGACCACTTAACCAATAAAAAAACACTCGCGGACCACCCAACTCTACAAATATCCAAAAACAATAGGCCTGCTTACCAACGCTAGCAGGACTGCTCCGTTTGCCGGAGCCCGCCGACCGCATATTATGCTGGCGGGGAACGCCTTAGCCACGAATGCTAGCTTACTCCACCCCCCCCCGACGTTTGTAAAATAGCCGG